AATCTGAAAGAAAAAAATAATTAATAGCTGAAAATAAAAAAAATTATTAGTAAATTGTTTAATAGGGTGGGATGTGGGTGGGGTGGCTAACCCCAACCACATTTCGACTCCCACCCCTCGCGCACAACGAAAATGTTAACCTGTCACTTCTGAAGTCGAACCGACAAATGAATTATTCTGCGGCGCGTCGCTCCTTATATAACCACCGATTGGTCGAGCTCCTCACCCCAATTGGAAATTTTCGAACTTCACAGATTCCATTATTTATTATTTTTCCGCTTTAATAGCCAATAATTTATTAATTTTTTCACTTTTATTATAAATATACATTACGAGTAATTTATTTTGTACTTTTGTTATAAACCTACGTTGTAAACAATTTATTATTTACGATATTAACGATCTTTTATTGATAATAAATTTGATAATTTATACATTCTGTATAAACTATAACTACATTCGGTCTTCCACAGCATAAATTTCCGTGATACATATACGTATGTCAAAATATTTTTATTTTCTCTGTATTTTTGACTAAAACGATGTATTATAGTAAGAATTAAAAACATTGCAGGATTCATTCTCATCTTAAATATTAGATTGAATTTATATAGAGCATATAGTTGTAGTTGATGGACAACTTTTCTCCTTATCCTTTTGAAGGATACGACATGTTGATTCAATGAGATAGACAAGAATGGTAATTCGCATTGGACAGTATAATTTAAGCGCTGCATAATAACTTCGTTTAATAAAACCAATTTCGTTTTATGAAATCTTGTATGAGGGATAAGTGAGATAATAAATTCGAACAAAATAGTGTCCTTAGTATATTTATTTTTTTTTTTTTCATATGAATTATGTATATACATGTGGATTTTTGAGACAAGCATCACGGTCTCCGTGCAAACTCTGGCCTCTCAGTATTCGAGCTGAATCCTTTCAATGTAATGAGACAAAAAGAAGGATGATGTTTTTTCCTGATGACGCAGATGATAAAATAAGATGATGTCACAATGCGAGCTACGAGGTAGCACACCCTACTGCTAAGTAGCTTCATCACATTGTCAATTCCTAAAACGGACAAGAAGCGAAATATAATTTTTCGGATTATGTATACGAAATCATTGTTTTTGCCATCATGTACTATTACTTTTTATCAAATTTTATTCTTATATCTGCCAACTTACCATAATAGCATTGACAATATCATTCTGATTATTTTTAAGAGCTTTAATAGCTTTCCCTCGAGACACATTGGCTTGACACATTACTAAGTCAATGTCCTTTTCTGTGACGCCCGTTTCGTCGACTTCTTCTTCTGATTCCTCTTGTATCGGTGCAACGATCTTCAAACATAGAGTCGAAAGATCATATAAACCGTTTTATTACCATTTTCTATATCGGAGCGGATGTAATTCCTTACCGTAGTACTACCACCAGCTTCAGTTGCTGGAATAGCTGATGGCTCCTTGAACTTCTCAGCTGCTGCTACCTGAGCTTGTTGACTGAGATCCTCGATCTATGAAACAAATAACTTTTTTAATAATTAAGAAATACAAAACAAATATTGAAAAAAATTAGTATACAATCACTATCAGTCTGCCAAGGAATTTTTCAACAGTTCAGTTGAATATTTCAGTTTAGAATATGCGAAACAAAAATGAATCATCATTTCTCCAATGTTACACATTTTTGAAGTATTATTTTAACTTATATCCTATAAATTTCACCTTGGCTTCGCCAAATACTATATAGGTATCTGAAGCTGGGTTCTTCAACACATCTGGCTTATTGATTACAAAGAGAATGTTCTTTGATTTACGAATAGTTACTCTGTTAACTCCTTGTACCTAAATAAAGAAAATAGTAGTTACTTATTTATACCATAAAATAAAGGTATATAGAGTTTCTATAACATACAGGCTTTAATCCTAGTTTGCTCATTAACTTTCTAGCTTTTTTCTCTCCACGACTTTGTTTTGCTTTAGAAACTATGTCCATGGGAAGACCAGTGACAGTTGTCCCTGGAAAACCAACTGTACTACCAGCACCAGCATCATCTAAGCCTGGTAGAGTGTCATCTGAATCTGTATCTGTTCCAACTCGAGCTGCTGCTGCTTCAACCTTTGTAGGTTCAGAGCTTGCAGCTTTGTCAATTTCAGTTAATTCTGGCATATTTGTTGATCTGTAAAGGATAATTACATTATACACTACCAATCTATCCCTACTGTTTCATTATACAGCTAAGCAAAAACGAATCTATCGCATGTAAATTGTAAAAAAAGATTAACATGTATTGCTTTTGCAAAAAGTATTATTTTCTACGATACTAACGGATCTATGCATTAATATAAACTACGGGTTAAAACAATCGATCTATTCAAATTGAGTGCACGTGTTTTATACCGGGTTAACAAAGTCTGCCCCACCTAATATACCCTCGATCGTACTATAACTTTCAATAAATACGAATAATTTAAGAAATGAAAATGAAATAACGATAAAACTTATCGATGAATTGAAAATTACTAATAAATATAAAATAACTAAATACAAAGAATAATCACTTATCACATAATGATTATAACAGACAAATGGACGTTGTTATGGCGCCCGCTAAAGATGGTAAAAAAATACTTATAGAAATACGATCGTCTATTTCTCTTGTTATTTATGTTTAGCTATCATAACTAGTTTAACGGTGTTCTAGTAATCGTGAGTGACACGTTTTCACTCTCCTTGCGTTCTTATACAGTGTTTTATATCGTTATTGAGCACAATGAATTTGGTGTATAAAGATCGTTGATGCATAAACATCTCGTACGTTCATCATTGACGATAAATCATTACACACGATATGATTCGCACAGAAATATATGTTTGTTATTTGTCTCTCGATATTCACGTTCTTTTACTACCATTACTGAACGATGCTGAAAAAATCGTTAGATTTACCTCGAACGATAATCCGTCGACAACCGTGCACTATTTTTACCATGTAAACTGAGACCAATTCACACGTGTGCTCGAATGAGCATAGTTTTGTACTTTTAAGAACACAAGGCGCGAGTGAACATTTTGTTAAATCATCATCCGCAATTGGCTGTGCAAATCGAGGAGAATGCATAATTATTTTACAAAATTTAATTTCTAAACAATCCAATAAATATTGAACATACATAACAAAAAATTAATAAATGGGCAAATAAAAAACATTTTTACATATATTTTTATTGAAAAGTATATTTCCTTCAACAACAGTTCAAACCAGTTCTGCTCATCGTATAAATACAAATTTCAAATCACAATGTTTTACAGTAAATACGTTCTTAAGCACAATTGCAAGTAAAAGAATTAAGTAAACGATTGAAACAAGTAAAAATTATTTTTAAAGAGTAGAAGAGTAGAATGTTCATGTAATATATAACGTTTATATAGTAATTACGTGTTTCACTGAACACTTATATCCTATTAATTATAATGAGTTTTGTATTTATTTTTTTCTTTTTGTCGATAAATATTAGTAATACACAAAAAACGTGTTATTATCACAATAATACTTAAACTAAAAAAAAGATTCTACTAGGAAATAGTTCGGTAAAGAACAAAATAAATATTTTTTTCTTTCTCATTTCCATTTTTTTATATAAATTATGGATATAAAAAAATCCATACCTTTATTAACATAGAATAATAAAAGGAGTATCTGATCTACCAATAACATGGTCGCGCAAAAAATTTACGAATTTGCAAAATAATAAAATATTACAATATATATTGTGGTTTGTTAAAAAGGAAAGAAGTACGATATTCTCTAATATAAATACTAATGTCCACTATTGACGAGATAAGCAGTCTTGTACGAAATGTATTATTGACTACAATTTTCAACATGGGCATTTTTGTGATGATAAAGATAATTTAAAATTTTTAAAAGAATAAACAGTTCTTAAACATTCTTTTAATGTACTATCAAATTTCATCATTTTTCAAAGATAAATGAAGCAAAAACTTCAAGCAAAAAATACCTGTTTAAGTACCTGCGATTATTTTGCTTCATTTTTAAAGTTATGCAATATTCTAACAAAAAATAGATAAGAACAATTTGGAATGATCTTTCATTTGAGTACAAGAATATAGTATTTGTTATTTTTGTAAATACTATATTATTAACTATTGTCAAGTATAATATTTTTTAGTTTCCCACATTTGTTTTCGAATAATATAGTACTTACATTTCTGCTATACATGTATACCTATATACCTATATGTATACTACAATGCAACTGTAGTATATTCCATAACAAAAAGTTTCATATCACTAATTACTTCTAAGATGAAGATTCATCGATATCCATTTTTTCAACGCTATCCGTCTCGGATTTCATGGCATCTGATTCATCTACGATTGTAATTATTTATAACATAAAAAAGAATATTAAAGTATATATGTGATTAATAAACATATTTCTCACCATGCCCATCTTTTATTGATTCCGTAATACGTTCAATTTCATCCAATGATTCTGTTGGCCGCTCGAGCACTTCGATATCCGATTCTAAAAATTATTTTCAATTAATTCGAATTCTTCTTTTTTACTAAAAAAGCTTATATATCATTTTTCTCTATATTTAAACCTGTATCAGATGGACTTGGTGATTCTGTCTGCTGAAGTTTTACATCTTCTCTATTTGCTTCAGTCGGTAGTGAGCTATTAAAAGTTACATTATATTCCAGTTTTGGAGCAAATGGTTTCTGTTTTCTTGCAGGATTCCAAAAGTTGCAATAACAACATCTGAATCCTACAAAATAAAAATACATATATTTTAAATACTTAGTATTGTAAATCAATCTTTACACTTAACTCTTTTTGGCAGATTATGACAAAAGTTTACCAAAATATTCAAATTCCTCTTTAAGTGCCATTCCATTATGCGATTCGCAATGCCGACAAATTAATGCATACCGATTGGATGGACCATCTCCGACAAGATAATCGATCAATCGATCCAAGTAAGACCTTTGCCGCGGCAATATTGGACGCGGTAAAGAAGTTCCTATTATACAATTTATTTCTTAATTTTTTAATATAATTTCCTGATAAAGAAATCTATAACATTTATTTATTATTATTAAAAGAATTTGGCTTTAATAAATTAATATCAAAGGAAAATAACATAGAATGAAAAAATAGTACATAAATTTAAAAAAAATAAAAATTAACTATAATCCTAAAGGTACTAACGATAACTCCGGATTGGAGTATTTGGAGCACTCTGGAAGGAAGTATTTGGTGGATTCTGAGTGGGAGTCATGCCAACTGGGACAAGGCCAGTGTTAGCAGGCATACCACTTTGCACATTTAATGGTTGATTTTGACTTGTTACTACACGTCTTCTCAGTTCCCCAGAAAGAGATGCATGGGACATATTATGTGGTGTACTAGATCGTTCGGTAATTTTTGCGGGTGATGACGCTGTATAAGTTGGCTAAAATGAAAATTTCTTTTACTATACTTTTTAGCTTTTTTTTTTTAAATTAACTCTAATTGTTTATTACTAAAAAGATATTTTTAATTACTCAAACGTATTCTGAAAAAATGTATGACATAAGATACAAACCTGTGGAGATAACTGCAAAAAAAAAAAAAAAAATTAAAGGGTGGAAAAATCCTTCATATGCAAATAATTGTAACACAAGTTCTAGAAGGAAAATGTTTTTAGAAGATTCAGCAAAACAGTTATTAACAGTTAGTTATACTGTACCTATTAAATGTGTATAGATTCAAAATATAATATAAATTTCAATGTTTTAATTCAAAAACATACAACAATAAACATACAAAAATACAACTAAAATGAATAGAAAAAATGTTAAACCTGGGTCCTATACTGACCAAGGCATGGTTGCTGACGGCCGTTAAAAGCGTCGTTTGACGGAGGGTTAAAAAAAATTCAAACAAAAGAATATTTATGTAATTGAAATAAAAATAACTATATATTGAAATCTGAATTATATCTTTTAATGTACTTACAGGAGTCAATCTTAATTCATCTGGAGCAAACTTTAGCAAAATTTCTTTAGCTTTTCTATATGTTTCAATTTCTATGACTTCATCTAAAATATTCTTTTTTTCTGTTTGCATACTACTTAATTTCTCTTGATTTTCAGAAATTTTACGTTTATAATACCATGTTACCATTTTCTTTGTAAGCAATATTCTGTGACAATAAAATGTCTTGTTAATTCTTGTGAATAATTTAATAAAGAAATTACATGATACATTAAAGGCACTTACAAAATTGGGAAAATTAACAATGGAATGATGTAAAATATTTGATCATAGAGCGATGCAGGGAAGAAACAGAAGTAAAAGATGAAGGCTGTTATAATATAAAGTGTTACGCTATATAGAATAAGAGTTCCAATAATTTTTTTGTGTCTCTGTTCTGTGACATGTCCATACTTTTCTATTTCTTTAATTTTCTGTTACACAAGGAATTTATAATCATTTTAAAAATTATTAACACAGATGCAAATAGAAAAATATATATATTTTACCTTATCGAGATCCTCTAAAATCTCAATTGTTGTTTTCTTTTTCTGAAATGTAAAAATATTCTATATTTTTACATATTTAGACATAACTTTTAATAAGCATTTTTTTTAATAATTTATACTTTATAGGTAACATATTATATAGTATATGTATTTATTTAAATTTAAATATATTTTTAAATAAAAGCAAATTAAATTATCAAATTTAAATGAATTCAGTATCGTCACTAAGATATATTCACTGAATAATAATTAATATGAAAGCTTATAAGTAACTACATGAGCAGCATAATAAATTATAATACCTGTTGAACACTAAGAATTTCATATATGATATATATGATAAGACATATACAATTTTTTTTAACACAAAATTATCAGTTAAAAAGTTACTACAAATACTTAAATGTAACAATATTTTTAATACTTTGTTTGGTACAAAGTTAAAATAATTTAAATAAATTAAATGTAGTGTCAATGAATGGAAATTTTGTGTCGCATGATGAGTCTACTGCATAAATTACAGGTCAATATTGATTCATCATCCAATATTAAGAATTCTATTCAAATTAAGTTGCTATGTTTGTACTATAAAAAATGAAGATTATAAACTTTTAAGGATCATAAAGTTTATGCTATAATATACTTATAAAAAGTCATACATATGTTACTTTTTAATAAGCTTCTTAAGCTTCTATAGCTTCTTAGGCTAAGCGCCTAACCTCGAATATTTATCAATTAAAAAATCCATATGTTTAATTTAATTATACTTCAATATCAAAAAATATAATATATTATTAGTTAAAAACGTTCGTATAACTACGAAGTGCAATGATAATTTAATTATTACTAAGTGGATAGTAAGAAAAAAATACTATGGTCGAATATTAACCTTAATAACACATAGCATTAATGTTATTTATGTAAATACTGACACAGACTTACATGAAATCTTGATAATATGATTCCCATGATGTCAAAATTCTAATGAACTTTTCCACGAAATGATAAATCTTTCAATTGTCGAAGATAAAACAGCTTAAACGTAATAAATGTCAAAATACGAGATTCATGCAATTTTAAAATAGCCTAGCCGGGCGGTATCTATGTGCACTCGACCCAAATTTAAATCTCTCTGCGTTTTGTTTTGATATTTATAGAACAAATTATCTATAAACATTCCTTGAACAGTAACACTAAATGATTTGTCATCATCTTCAAAAAAAAAAATGAATATTTCTCTTCAACGCGCATAATATTCACATAATGAAAAAATGATATATCGAAGAATCAACAGATGTTGAAAATTCCTTTTTTCACTTGTCACTTTATAAATTCATTGAAAATAAAAGATAGTATTTTTAAATAAAATATCATTCGTTAAATTTATGTATTATAAAATAATATTGACTGCCACTTTCGTATGCGTCCCATCAGATATTAACCAGTCGAAATACCGTTCCGCTTGGAACTGCAAATCAAACTGAGGTACAAGACACTGAACGAACATTCTATACAGTTACAATACAGTTTTGTTTAGACGTTCGTTTCACGTATCAATAAGGAAGTAATACAGATAAATAAATTACATAAATGCTATTAATTTTATTCAAAATATTATTATATTTATAAAAATAAGTTCTACATAGTTATGTCTATAATCATCTAAATAACAAATATATAAATAGAACTGACGTGTTATATTCGATCACACAGTAATCGATAAGTTGCCTTACAATTTTTATTGAATATAAAATATTGAAAACACTTAAGTTCTGTTTTCTCAAACTATCTATAGTAAAATAATTATACGATATTTAATAAATGAAGTTATAAAAGTTTTATTATTTCGTGTAATTTTGTTAGTACATTATAAGATGAGTAAGATGAGTAACACGAGTAAAATGAATAATTTTTAGTAAACATAAATTTATACACTTTTCAGGGTGATGTGTCTATTAGTATGAACTGCTTTTGTCGCCATTATAACATATTCGTTGATAAAAGGAATTGTCTGTTCTACAAGTATTATTTCCGTAGCTGACATTTTAGGCAATCCGAAATTTTTTTGTATACCTCCTGGACCGAATTGCAATTCACTCGTAAAAAATCTGCATATTGGTAAAACGTTTGATCGTACATAAGCCGATGTGACAATACTTTTGAAACCACTAAGACCTCCAGCAAGTGCAAGAATTAATTTGGCAACTGCTGCTCCATCAGATAACGTTGGTCCTCTGAATTCAATGTTTGCCATTTCTTTGTCCGCACTTCTTAATGATTGTAATAACATGTCCTGTTGTGTCTACGTGAATTTTTGATGGAAGATGTTAAAAGTTGAAAAAATAATATACTTTCAAGTATAGTAGCTATATATTTTCATACATTAGTAAACCGATTAATTGGAGTAGCACGTGATAAAAGTGGAACTATAGTATTTGAGTCTGCTCCGCCAACTATTGGTACTGATAAAAATGCAGGATTTAAATCTAAGAGATTCGCGGTTAATGCTTCCATTCGCATACGGTCAAGCATGGTAGAACCAATAATTCGGTCTGGGTCCCACCAACCGGCGAGTTTGTATATTTCTGACACCACAGGAAGCGTAGCTGTAACAGGTCGGGCGAAAACAGCAACCAAAGATTCCGAACTTAATTGTGCCATTTGTTCAGCCATTTCGCATATGTATGGCGACACAGCTTCAAATTGATCTACAGGATTTAGATTCATATTGCAATTTGTCTCATCCATCAATGCGATAATGTTTATCTACAAATAATATCAATTTCTGCGAATTAATTTTTTGAATAATGTAGCTGATATATTGCTAACTATTTAAATATATTAAATTACAGAAATAGAATGATAAAGACATACTTCTTTAAGGGCTTGTTTTAAATGTTTTCTTTTAAAATATTTTATACGAGGTGATGTATCAATATGACTAACATCTAAAACTGTATTAGCCAATGAATCTTTTGTATCTACTACATGTATTCGTTTTATGAGACGAAATTGTTTTAAAAGAACAGCTGCGTAAATCAACGATTCAGACCCTCCAATCATGCAAACTTTTATGTCTCCTTTGCGATCTGGTAAAAAGTAATCGTAATCTTTAAATTGAGGTTTGATGTTAACATCAGCTTCCTTTGACTTTTGTTCATTTCTTTTATTTTTTACACACTTCGCTTTTTTATCGTCAATTGGCATGTTTGAAATGTTTTTGTATAGACAATGTAAAATACATTTCTCGGTAGATTTTAAAAGATAACGTATTCCAATCATGTTTAAACATTTGCCTTGTATGAATCATTAACGACAATTTTTTAATACAGTTGAAGTTTATAGGGTACAATAGAAATAAAATTCAGAGATTACTTAGGTTACTGAGTTAAAAGTATATTGATTAATTAAACGAGTAAAAAACAATCGAATAATTTTATACAAACCGAATACTTTATGCAAATGACAAACATAAAATTTAATTACATTTAATTTTTTTTCTCTTTTTTATCTATGATTTTTATATTTTTCCGTTCGACTCGAATACCTATAAAAGTTATGATTACAGATATGTAAATATCAATTATATGTATGTTACACATATATTACATTCTGTAACATTAATAAAGAGTAATGAAACAAACTAGATAAAGATGGAAATGAATAAAAATCTATTTTAATGTGTTGTTCATATATTTTTGTCAGAATATATAAAATCTTAAAATTATGTACAATTAATTGATAACATTATATTTAATTACATGATTAATGATTAAGATAAAAATTTAGTTAATTTGCTTCTATAATAAGATCAGACATATCTGGAAAAGATTGTATTTTTAACGTCTTTTCATTTGCTAAATGTAATAAGGATACAAAAGAAATTGGAAAACTTAGAACTTCTATATTAGTTTTTGTTACTATATTCGGTAATGTTTTATAAATTTCACTAAAATATTTATCTTCCTTTATCTTATTTTCTTTTTCTTTATTTTCTGTACTTTCTGTATTTTCTATATGTATATTTTCTCTATTATTATTCACAGTTAGAATCTTCCAAATAGAATTTTTTAATTGTCGCATATCAATTTTTTTTGCACGTGTACTATATGCAATACATATTTTATTCGTTAATTTAGGAACAGTTACTAAATTGTCTCCAATAAAAATCATTTCATTATCTTTAATTTCAAAATTATGTTCGATATCATTGTCTTCACTTGATCCATAATCTTCAATAGGAACATAAGGACAATAGTTTGATGTATCATTTTCATTATTATAATTATAATCCTCAATATCAGATATATGGGTAACATTTAACTGATCCTTCTGACTGATGTTTATATTTATCGACTTATGAAAATATAACTTAGCTGCATTTGTAATATTATAATCAATATTTTGTTTCATTATGAGTTTGTCTTCATTCCAATATAATTTAGTAGCATCAAACATTGTTGCTTTACTTTTTGAAAATTTTGCTGCTACTGCTTTCTTTATTTTGTCATCATAACATATTTCTATTTCTTTTCTTTTTTTAGTTGGCTTCTGTGGACAAGATGCTACATTTTTCCTCCTTTCACATTTTTTAAAATTATTTATTTCCCAATGGGATGAACCAGCCAAATGTAGGCTGCAATTTTTCTGAATAAAAGAGTACTCAGATGTTTTGTGCTTATCGGTATCAGATATAAATTTACACAAGTCCACAACATTTTCTGTTGGTTTTTGTGCCTCAATACATCTATCTACGTTCTCCATTGTATCCTGAATATCAAAATAATTCATGTCATTTTGGATAACTTCATCTTCAGCTGGTAAACTAGCATCCAAATCAAACTGAAATTCGTTTCCCTTTTTTTCTGATTCTGTATTTTTATCTGCATCATTCTCATTATCACTAATCCAATTTTGAAATTCAAAATTAGTCAAAGGTGGACATATCTCTAATTTAGAAATATTTTCTATTTGTGGAATATTTACTTTTGTACTTTTATCATTTAAATCATATTGTATAGTATCTACAATAACATCATTGTAAAAGTGTAAATAATACTTAGAATTTGCATGATTTGGTAATATTACTTGATATAATGCATCTGTCGTTTGTGCATCTTCATTTTCCATTATCCATAATGAAGGTTTTATAATCTCTACAGTTCCTTTCAAATTATCTATGGTACTGAAAATTTTCTGCTTGCTTCTTTTTCTTTCCTTTTTTTTATTTCTCTGTGTATCATACACTTGATCTTCTGGTTTAATATTTACATGTTCATTTACATCACCAATTGCACTTTCATTATTTTCTTTATCTAACCCACCAGCCATTTTCATTATTTCTGCATGGATTCCATCTACACGAAAACCATAAATTTTTGTACTTACATCTAAAGACGTACTGGCTGTTTGAAGATTAGACATATTGCTGTCCTGTTTCTTTATCATATAGGACATCAAGTTAATTATTTCGAGACTAAATGCATTTTTCATACTAATCTTGTTTTCAGTATTAAGTTTTATACATTCACTTATAAGATCCTTTATTTCAAGTAGTGACTTTTGACCTAAGAAACCAAGTCCCAAAGATCTTCTTTTATTATTTGTACTTGCATTTTCTATTGTCCCTCCAGAAACATTCATTTCACAACGTCTGACCAATCTTTCAACCTCATCGTTGTTTTCTGCTAAGACAGGTGATGAATTATTCTGTTTTTGAAAAGATTTTCTCCGTAAAGATGATGAAGAGTATTCAGGCGCTGCTTCTAATATTATATCTTCTTCCATTTTATAAATTTGT